CTTAATGGTACCACCAAGCATTGTCTCGACAGATCCTCTATGGGCCAACCTTAGTGAAGATCGTCACAGACTTTTCCTATATTACAAAAGCGCTGTCCCTGGGATTTGAACATGGGATCTTCCCATAATGTTTGGTGAGGATGACAACAATAATTGTTTTTACTATATTAAAGGAAGCTTGTATTTATATTAGTTATTATATACTTTAATTGCATCTACTAATCGAACTTAAAAAATTCAAGTCTAATAATTCAGATACTTTATAAAATAAAACCAAATCTATAAAATCTAAATAGTAGTTAATAAATACATTTTGATAAAATCAGTAATATAAGTATAAGCTTATGATAAATAAGAGAATAAGAATGAAAATAAGTTCTATTTTTTTTGTCTTTGCTGCTAGCTTAACATAAATTTAGTCTTGTTATTAGTATTCACTTATCACCAGGTGGGAAATTAGAAGAATAAAAAGTAGGAAAAAGAAGTATAATTTAATTAATTAAGATATTTACAAGCCTTTTCTTTGGTTAACTAGCAGGTTTTGATCATAATTCAATAATTATATTCTCAATAATAATAGGGAGAGAACAGTCAGATTCTAAGCCTGCCTTAAAAGGTAAAAACTGCTTCTAAAAAGACTATACTATAAAACTAAATATAATAAAAAACATTTAATATACTTTTAAAGAATTGTAAAATATGTTTGTTCTTTTTTTAATATAGAAACACCTCTCTAACAATTAGGCTGATTTTTTTTTATATAAATTTCTTTTCAAAAGGTCAAAAGCAAAGCTGAATTATGTAATTTATTACCAATCAAATTATAGAATTTTGATGATTGCTAGTGAAGTAAAACAAAAAAGAAAAGTAAAAATATGAAAAACAACAAACTAAACCTACTTTCACTAAATTAAGTAAAAATGATAAGAAGGCAATTTACTATCTAAAACCTGTTTTAATCTAAATCTAAAATAACTCTAACTCTAAAATTAATTTAATTAATAAAATATATATCATAAGAATCTATTTTTTACTTTAGATATCCTATTCCTTTTTGCAAGCCTCTAGTCTTTGACTCATCTTGATCATTTTCTTGAGATGGTTCAGAGCTTGATGAATCGGAAACTTGAGATTCAGTAGGTATACTTTCCGAACTAGATTCAGGAATTTCAGTCACATGATTTGAAAGACCCGAGGTCGTTGAAATTTCTGTGGAAGAATTGTCATGATTGCTAGAGAAATAGTCAATAACCTTTTGAAGTTCTTCATTAGTAAATCTTGAGATAGAATTCGCACTATAAGTTTTAATATATTGAATCTTATCTGTTCCTATTTTTTTGAATAAATTAAAGATTTTTATAGCTCTCTGAGTTTGCTTACATAAATTTTCCCGCTAAGTATTGGGAAGTTGTTCTATAATAAAGTCGTAGACCAGGCCTTTTGCTTTTTTCTCACCAATGTTATATTTGGTCATAAAATATCTAACCAAATCTTTGAATTCTTTAGCATACAAACACCAACATAATATTTCTTCCTGATTGGCTTTCATTGCGCTTTCTTCAGCATTGCATGCATTTTGATATAAATTAATGATGTTTTTATTATCCGAAATCTCACGAAGTGAGGACGCTTTTGCATCTGTGATACATGCGCTTTTTTGATCTGAAGATAAATTTTCATTTATATGATCTTTTTTGAGTGATATTTCCTGTATTAAAGCTTCACCCTTTTTCCGTTTACGTGAATCCTGGGCATTAATGGTTTCAGTATTGTATAATATATCCGAAGAAATATTATGGTTAACTGGAGATAAATCCTGGGATTGGTTTTTATCTGATTCACATAGAAGCTTCCTTTCTTTATTACATTGTCTTATCTCATTACTAACCTTTTTCTTGTTTTTCTCGTCTAAGAAATCGTCCATCTTTTTATCCTCTAACGATTTGGTGTTAGTATTAGTGCACTGATCTATAACAGGGTTGGGTACATTAACAATGTTCTCAGAAGAATTATTACCGTCTTCTAGCTGATGTTTAAAATTCTGTTCCAATTTCGCAACTCTAGCTTTAAGTTCAGCGTTTTCAGCAGTAGTATCTATTCTATTTTTCTCTAACTCCTCAATTCTGGTTTTAAGCATGGTATTCTCTTTTAAAAACTGTCTTAGCTTCGCATTCTCAGCTTTAATTTTGATATTCTCAGCCTCAACCTCAGCATACTTCGTTTTAAGTTCAGTAATCTCTATAATAAGCTTGGAATTCTGTTCTTCTAACGAATTATTTTTGGATTGTATATTTGCCATTGTTTCATATAATATATTATTTATTTAAATTTTCAATTTTCAAGTTAAAACAAAAATCAAATTGTAATGAAATTTCGCAGACCTCGGGTCGTTCAAATTTGCCAAGAAATTTCGCAGACCTCAGGTCGTTCAAATTTACCAAGAAAAATTTTTACATATAACATCGATAACAATACAATAAATAAATCCACGAAATACACATACAAAAATAAACTAATTATGTATACGAAATCGAGCCACCAGGCTCGCTTTATATCTTGAAATAGAACCGATGACATTTTTTTGTTACAATTAATAGATTTATGTAATAATGTAATAATCAAAAATCATACTTTATAAACTTTGTACCCAATTATTTATGACAATGTACAAAAATAAGAACATCGATTTTCTAAAAAACACTTGGAAAAAATATTCGATATTCAACGCCACGCAACATTAATCAAGGTTTTTTAAGGCCTTTTTTTATTAGTCATTATTAGTCGTATATTAAAAATAAATAATGCTACGTAAAAAAAATATTATACCTATCCTAACTTATCATCAGTGCATAATCGTTTTGCACATGGTTTCTCCTTGTTCAATGATTTAGCTTGTGCTTGTAGCACGCATACAATGTAAGAGACCACCCTTTTGGCTTCTTTCATATCATTTTCAAAAATACAAGGGTATTCTTGAGTTATCTCTGCTTTTGGGCATTCTAATGACCCATTCCATCGGATGAAACGCCAAGAACGACCCGTTGTCACGATACCAAACATTGTTTGTTCGGATCGTTTTCGCTTGCCCAGCAATGATTCCGCAGCACTGTGAATTTGTACTAGAGTTTGTGCAATGGCTTTCTCGCTTTCATATGGTTTGGCTTCTGTCACTAAAACAGGGATTTTTTGTATATAGACACCGTAATCCAAAACACCGTAGCCACGGCTTCCATCGAGTTCCACTTCCACCTTTAATCGTGTTGATGGATCATTACATGCTCGTACGTGGTTAACTGCTAAAGATAGGAAGACCGAAATAAATTCTCTTGCAGTTGCTTCATTTGTGGTAACCTCATTGTGAAAAATATTCATCTTCTCCCGAAGGTTGTCTTCAAAACGTTTTAAACCATCATCATTAAGTGGGGGGTCTAATTTGAAAATTTCATGTATTTCGAATATCTGCATTGATTCGATAGAATCAAATGCATCATTATATATCTCCTTGGAAACCTCCTTGAGGGTCCAATCTCCATATGCTTTTTTACCTTTTATTTGTATTTTAAGGTCAAGAAAACGTCCGCCATGATCATTTGAATCAGTTCTGTCCACCAATTTATTGAACTGGAATTCGTTCTCAATTTTTTTTTCCTCCGAGTTAATTTTAGAAACAAAATAAAAATCGCAGGTTTGCAACTTCTCGAATCTTTTATAAACAGCTTCCCGAAGCAAAACCCAAGAGCCACTAGAATGCGGCATTTCATAAGTATCCGAGTATCGTAAAAACTTGTACTTTACTATAACTACGAACAGGAAAACTAATGAGGTTATGAATGAAAGTAAATTGAATTACAATACATGTACCTACTGCTTGCATCTGAAAGGGGGTACCTCACAACAAGCGGGGCTATATCCGTTGTGACTATTTCTGTAAGTAATGTCCCACTACGAAGAGGTGTGAGTGTATTGTGGCCATTGAGGGAAAAAAATTCAATATCGCTTCGTTCGATATTCAGAAGTTCATTAAACTCTTCTTTAAGAACAAGCGTAAGTCGGTCCAAGTTAAGACTACGGTTTTCGTAATTTATTTGATCAAGGTCAACTTGCACTGCTCTTTTTTTCCCTTCAAGTAAGATCCACATGGTTATTATAGAGTTTGGAGGCTGGCTATCGGCGTTAGTCATGTTTGATAATCCCAATTTATAATACAGCCAATCAACAAAAATATTAAAAGACGAATTTTTTTTTTCTTTGTGCACAATAGGTATTTATAAAATGAACAATGTTATCTGCATGATGATGTCTGTGTTACAACCATTGCATTTTTTAATGATCCGAGAACTAAGCTTAAAAGTCAAATCCACAAGATCTCTGCATAATTTATTCTGTCACATGTCAACAAAATGGTTGACAGTAAATTCCTGAATTCTGCTTAAACTACCGCTATCGTTATTATTATCAAATTGCTAATTCGGATTTATTTTTAATTATTAGAGAATTGTCACATTCACATCGCTTATATATTCCCTCTGCTACTTTTTTGCATGTCTTACAATATAGATGTGAATGGTGATCGCA